TAGGACCCGAAGGAAGGGTCATTTGGGGGCTGCTCTCCAGGAGGGAATGTCACCCTGTGTCATCCTGTGTCACCCTGTGTCACCCTGTGTCACCCTGGGGGCTGATCAGAAAGCTGGCATTAAATGGACCCTGCAAAGGTTTAAAAGCTGCCTCTAAGAAAATCTGCTTCTCTGTTAGGTCTTGGCATATGTGCAAAAGTCATTCAGTCAAAGGGACACAAATATTTCACCATTTTTTTCCAGCTCTTCCTTCGGCTTTTCATTCCTGCCATAAACTTGATCTGATGTAGGGCAAGTTACATTTTTTTCTGAAATAGCAGCAATATCAATTTGGGGTTTTTTGTGGGCTGTAAAGTGTTCAGCACTTCCTGATGGTGTTTGTATTTTGGGATCCTGGTCTCTTACAATAGTCTGGGTTGGAAGGGATCTTAAAAACCATCCATATCCAACTCCTACCATGGCAGGAACATCTCCCACTGGAAGTGGAGGCTGAAACCTCCCTGCTGCTCTTGAAAAGATCAGAGATTTTAGGAGATTGGAAGGATTCTTGGTGCTCAGGGAAGGGAGCTTGTTCAGCATTGCTGAAAGAGAGAAGCCAGGCTGGGTAAGGAGAGAACAATTAGGAGGAGGTGTTGCAAGCACTGAGGAGGAGGAGGAGAATCGCCTGTCCTGGAGGGGAAGAATTTGCTGTGCTGTTGTGTTGAAGCCTCCGTGGTGGCTGTGGTTGGGCTCAGAGCTGTGTGTGTTTCAGGAGCGGGTGCAGAAGACGTTTCCCCACCCCATAGACAAGTGGGCCATCGCTGACGCGCAGTCGGCCATCGAGAAGCGGAAAAGGAGGAACCCCCTCCTGCTCCCTGTGGACAAAATCCATCCCTTACTGAAGGTACCTCTCACCTCTCCTGCCCCCCAGCATCACCTTTTGTGTATTTCTTTAATTTGTGTGAAATTTAAGAAGTTTGTCTCCTTGGCAGAGGGAGTAAAGAATCACCATAAATCTGAATTTATTATATTGTGTAGTGAAAGTAAATCCTTAAATTCATCATCAGTACATCAGTGTGTTCATCCATTACTCTGCTTTGAAATAGGATTAGTTAGTTTTTAACATAAACAAAACTCAAGTACTTCCCTACTTCAGCAGGGCTGCTTTGATGCCTTTATTTGTTTCAAAATGCTGCAGAAGCCAAAATAGAAGAAGAGGGAACAGCAGATCCTGTTCCTTGTGTACTGTCAACCAAGATGTGGCAGTGTCCTTTCAGTCCCTGCTGAATGTCACTGCTGCCTCAGGTTTAAAAATCAAGAGACCTGCAGAGGTGTTCCCAGCTGTTGAGAAAACTTTATTGGAGCATAAGCAGAAATTAAAGCACTTTTTCAGGTCTCCTTGCTGTGTTCGCTTACACAACATCTCAATTCCTGAGGGTTAATGAGAGGGGGGGATGTCAAGAGAGGAAACAGCATTAAATAACATCTTCCTAAACACCACTGGTGAAATCTGGTGTAGAAGTGTGAAATCAGGCCCAGAATCTGATTTTTAGAGGATGCACCAACACACAATGAGAGCAAGTCTGCCTTATTCAAATGCACAAGGTCAGCTGCATTTATTGGCAGGTGAAAGGCTGCAGGGTGCAAGCTGTGCAGGACATGGAGCACCTTCCCAGGGATAATGTCCTACATTCATCCTGGGTTTTGTCTCCTCAGACTCCCATTATTAAAGTTCCATTGTTTTATGGAGTGCTGAGTGCTCAGCTGCTGTGGCAGGGGGTGGAGGAGATGATCTTTAAGGTCCCTTCCCACCCAAACCATTCCATGATTCCTTGAAAATGAAACCTACTCTGTTCTCAGGAGTCCACATTGGGGTCAGAGTCCTGCAATAAGCACAGACAGAGAGGGAAATTTAAATACAGAATAATTCCACTGGAGTCCCTTCCCTAAATTAATTCCATTTTTAGGACTGTCATTTTTAGAGGAGGGATTATTTCAAGTTCTGTAGCTTTTCCTCTCTGAAAACACTGCAAAATAACACAGGTATTTACAAGCATTACAATCCTTCCAGGCAGATTTCCAATTTCCATTTGATGTCTCAGCTCTGGGTGTTCCATTAGTGTAAATTATCACCACAGCCGAAATCCATTTCAGTAGAAAATTCAACGTGTTTATTGTCATTCTAGATGAATTTCTGGAATCAATTCCATTTGTTTTGTGTTGTTTTCCCTTTGCAGGAGGTCCTGGGCTACAAGGTGGATTACCATGTCTCTCTCTATATCGTGGCTGTCTTGGAATACATCTCAGCTGACATTTTAAAGCTGGCTGGAAATTATGTGTTCAATATCCGACACTTTGAGATCTCCCAGCAGGACATTAAAGTATCCATGTGTGCTGATAAGGTAAGGGCTTGGCATTCAAACAGTATTTAGAGGTGATTTGTTCCATTTGATTTCATCTGGAAGGTGTGTTCAGAGGAGGATCAGAGGGAGAGCCTGCTTTGACTCAAAGGCAAAGCTTCTCTCCTTGTTCATGGCAGATCTCTCACAGCAAAAATTCAAGTCAAAGGCAAAGCTTCTCTCCTTCTTCATGCCAGACCTGTCACAGCAAAAATTTAAAGGCAAAGCTTCTCTCCTTCTTCATGGCAGATCTGTTAAGTTGAGCCTGCCTAAATTTTGGAGCAGCAGGAGCCTCTACAAGCTTAAGGCCAGAAATTGATGTTGTCCTTCATTTCTCTGCTGTCACACCCTCCTGATGTCACTTTGTCATGGCAGCTCTCCTTCCTAACACAGAAAAGACCTTTAGTTTTCATGCCCATTAAAATGAGAAACATTTTTGTTCGGTTTTATCTTCAGCAGGAGGTTTTGTCCAAGGCTTATGCAAGATTCCTTGTTTTCCAAGTTGATTCTGCATGAATTGTAACTTGTTTTCTAGGTCGTGCTCACTTCCAAGGGGGAAAATGGCTTTGGCAAGTGCTGCAGCCTCCTGCTGCCAAAGTTGAAATATTACTCCCTTGTGAAAGTGAACACAGCAAGGATTGTATTAAAAACCCCAAGGATTTCTCTGAACACACTGAAATGGCTGAGCTGGGGCCACGTGTGAAGGCCTGGCTGGGTGTAATTTCTGCATTTCTTTGGCAGGTTTTGATGGATATGTTTGATCAGGATGAGATTGGCTTGGTTTCTCTGTGTGAGGATGAGCCCTCTTCTTCTGGGGAGCTCAACTACTACGAGCTGGTGAGAAATGAGATTGCAGAGGAGAGGCAGTACCTGAGGGAGCTCAACCTGATCATCAAAGTATTCCGGGAGGCTTTTCTGTCCAACAGGAGGCTCTTCACACCTCACGTGAGTCCTTCATTGATCAGCAGTGCTAATTGCTCCATTAGCAGCCAGAACTTACCCATTTTGCATTTACTGTGGTTGGAGGTGAAGTCAAATTTGATTTATTGGCTGTCAGTGAATAATGAGAGTTGGCTGTGTGTGAAATCCAGTGGGGGAATTGCCATTAATGGGAGTGGAGTTTAATGGGAACAATTCCCTTTCAGATCCAGCAGCAGCTGGATTATTTGGGTCATTTAGGTAATAATTTCACTTCTGCTTAAGACATAAATTAAGTCATCTACCTGCATGTGCAGTGAATGCTTGAACTGACATTTACAGGCTGCCCCTTATCTGGAGAAATTCCAATTAAAGCAGCCCCTGGCTGTGGATTCTCTATGTGTGAAGGAGTTAGAGAAATGATTGAAATATTTGATTGAAATTGTCCTTGTGGCAAATTCTGTTCTCAGGAGGAGTCAGGAGGGATTGGTGAGTCCTTCCTGTGGGCAAGGAGAAGGGGACAGAAGCTGAACTGGGATTTGCAGGTGGTACCAGCAGGTTCAAAAGAGGCAGCAGGAGCCATTGCCATCCCAGCTGGGTGTGGAAGTCCTTAGGAGCTGATGGAATTGTGCAGATGTGGGGTGGAATTCCAGTGAAAATGGTGGGAGCAGAAGGGAGCCATGCTTGGGAGCTGAGGAATATTCTTTTGGGAATGGGAAATTTCAGGATTTGATATTCCCACAAGAGGGTTCCCATGCTCTGGGCACTGCCTGGAGGTCAGTGGGAGGTTGGGGCAGAGAAATTTGAATTCAGAGGGGGAATCCAAGGCACTGAGCTGGGGAAGGGGCTCCCTCATGGAGTGTGGGGAATGGAAAATCCACAATTAGGATTTGGGAAGGAAGCTGCCCAGTCCAGCTCCATTCCCAGCCCAGGAGCTGCTTTAGCTGCACCTGTGGTTTGGAGCATCTGAGCTTGGAGCTGCTGTAAATTCCTCCTGTAAATCAGCTCCAGAATAAATCAGCTCCTTCCTGCTGTGCTGGGGGGACAAGGAGGAGCAGGGAGGGCCAGGAGTGCTTTTCCAGCAGTTCCTGGGAAGGATGCTCTGAAATTGGGCAAGGCTGGATGTGCTCAGGGAAGCCTGGAGGGCTGGGAACAACATGGAGCTTCACTTTTCCTGCTTTCTGTTGGTTCTTCTCTGTTGGAACCCTGGGAATTGCTGAGAATTCCAGACTTTCTGTGCTGCCAGGCTCTGACCCCCAGGAGAACACTGCACTGACCTGAGGCCGTGGAGAAGCTTCCAGAATGGAATGACAGAGCTGGGATTGTGGGTGTGGGGTTTGAACAGAAGTGTGTGATATCACAGGGTGGGAAACTCAGAGTTTGGGGTTTAGAATACAGTAATATACATAAAACAAGATGGAGGTTTTAGGGTGAGGCTGCTCCTTCTTCTTCACCTTCTTCTCCGTGGGTTTGGGTGGTTTTGTGTAATTGGATTTAAAAAGTCTCCATTGCAGCCATGGGTGGTTGGTTATTGGGTTAAAAGTGAAAATAATTGAGGTGTCATTCCTTAATTGGACAGTTTATCCTTAAAAGGCCTTGTAGAGAGAGATGGGGCTCCATTTTTAGTTTGTTGAAGTGCTGCAGAACTCAGGGTTTGTGAGACTGTGACAGAGATAAGAACTCATAAACACCTGAGTCCAAACACAAAATTCCATCTAGCACATTTAATCCCAACCTTGGCCAAAAAGAAGTTAAGACTCAACACCTCTCCATTCACCTCCTGGTTCAGACAAAACCCACTGCAATATTCACATGCTCCAAATAAATGATGCCAGGCAGGACTCAGCCCTGTTGTGTGCTTGCAGGACATTGATGTGATATTCAGCAACATCTCGGACATCCACGAGCTGACAGTGAAGCTTTTGGGCCTGATTGAGGACACTGTGGAAATGACAGATGAAAGCAGCCCTCACCCCCTGGCTGGCAGCTGCTTTGAGGACCTGGCAGAGGTTTGGTGTTTCATTTGGTTGGTTTAGGGGGTTTTTATGTTTATTTTTATTAAATCACTCAAATTGGATGTAGTGGTTTTGTGCTGGTTTTCACAGGGGTTCTTGGATGAGGGAAGAGACGAGGATCTGACTCCAAGTTTCAAAAGGCTGATTTATTATTTTATGATATATATTATATTAAAACTATACTGAAAGAATAGAAGAAAGGATTTCATCAGAAGGCTGGCTAAGAATGGAAAAAGAAACAATGATAACAAAGGTTTGTGTCTTGGACAGAGAGAGCCAGCTGACTGTGATTGGCCATTAATCAGAAACAACCACACGAGACCAATCCCAGATGCACCTGTTGCATCCCACAGCAGCAGATAATCAATGTTCACATTTTGTTCTTGAGGTTTCTCAGCTTCTCAGGAGAAAAAAAATCTTAAGGATTTTTCAGAAAATATTGTGGCTCCATGGTTTTGGTTCACCAGTTTGAGATTTGGCCAGTTTTGAGATTTCCAGCCAGTGCATCCAGGAGTGTGGAGGGTTCAGTGCTGCCCAATCCCAGCACCCAGTTCCTGCTGGGAGGGCGGATTGGGAGAAAGGCAAAGTTCAAAACCTTAAAAGGGTCTAAACAAAACTTTATTAACAGTAACTAAAAGAAAGAGTGATAAAAATCACAGCAAAACCTTGAGAGCACTTCTCCTCCCCCACAACCTTTTCTTTCCCACTGACAGTGTGAAGAAACAAAGTGAGTGAATGGCAAATTTTTGGTTTTATCTGAGAATTATGATGTTCATTTAAAAAATTAAAGTTTTTATTTATATATTATTTTATTTTTGTTCTATTTATATTAATTAAGCTTTTATATTAACTTTGAATTTTACTTTTATGTATCTTCCATTTTTAAGATCTGAATGTTGCAGGAACACCCCAGCACCACCTGGAGAATAATTTTGTGGCTGTAAAAAACAGTGATTTTTGGGCACAGGTGCCATTCATTTAGGAAAAGACCATAAAGATAAAGTTTTCTTGGCATTGCTTCAATAACCACTCATGTAGGAAAGTCCAGCTGACCAAATCTTAGCAGTCATTGAAGCATAATTGCTTTGTAATGATAAGGAGAAGTGTTTGATCAATGGATTAAAGCAGTTATGATATTGAAACTATTAAAAAAACCCCTTAAATTTGAAATAGTGCAGCATTATCCTGGAAAAAAATCAGATTTTATTGCAAAAGCTGCTCTGAGTCATCCAGTGCCTTAATGGAAACAAATCCTTTTCAGTGAGTGAAAATCTCATCTGATTTTTCATTCACTGAAAAACTTGAAGGGGAAATGAAGTCCAGATTATTTTTGCAAGCTTTTTATGAAGGTAATATATTTGAATTTATGAATTCAGTTAGTATGGGGCAAGACCTGCTCAGTGAGTGAGCTGTTGGTGAGATCATCTTTGTGTCAGTGTTTGCAGAAGGAATCATTAAAGGGAGATAGCAGAGTGAAGTGTTTATTTGCTCTGCTTATCTCCCTGCCAGCATTGTTCATTTAGTGTTGCCATTAAAAAGGTCCTTCAACTTCTTGGGAAGGATAATTAAAACCAAACAAGCCTTGCAAGCTGGAGTCTTCCTGCTTTGTCTGTTTTTTTCGGCATCAGCTCCCTGGAAGGTTTAAAAACATAAATATTGTCGTGGTTTTGAGATAAGGAAGTGTGGGGGGAAATAAAACATTGGTTTTGTGTATGGGAAAAATAAAATATTTTTTGCTGGTGTGGAGGAAATTCAGAAACACCCAGAAGTGGGAAATGGATGGTTGAGGACAGGGCAGAGGGTTTCTGAAGGGATCTTCTGAGGGCAGCTGATGGAACAAGGGGTTGTCAGTAGGTTGTAAATTCATTTTCTGCTGTTTGTGTTTCCATCAGAGGAGTTTTAAGTATCCACAAAGGTGTTGTAGTGTGTTGTAATGTCCTGTTTTAGACTTCCGGGTCCCGGGTCCCTCCCCAGGTGTGGCAATACCTGTTCCCCTTCCCCCTTGCCCTCTTGCTGAGTGAGTCCTGTCAGTCAGGCTTAACATTCCAGCAAAGGCGTCGTGTGGTTGGTTGAATTCAAAGGATGCCCCTCAGGCCCAGAGGTCATTGGCCTGTCCAGCTGTCATTCTCCCCTGAGACCCCGCCCCCCCACCTGGTTGGTGGCTCACCTGTCCCCTCCCCACCCCCTGAGCTTAAAAGGTGAGTCCGGCCATGTGCTCGGGGTTCTGTTGGAGGTCTCCCCAAGACTCAGACCTCTGTAACCATGGAATAAACCACTGCATATAACCCTCTGGCAGAATCCCTCCTTTTTTCTCTTCACCTTCGCCTGAAGCCTCTTCCTGAGGTAAACAGAGTCCCTGACAAGCCTGGGCTTGTTTGCTGCCCAGCTGAAACCATCAGCAGGCCAAAGGTGTCTCTGGGGTGATCCAGCACAGCTGTGCCTTGGCTCAGCAGCGAGGGTCAGACTGGCCCAGGCACAATCTAACTGGTGATACTGGGATTCATATTCCAATACAAAGGAACAAAGGTGGGAGCAGTGCACACAGCCAGGGGGGAAATGGGCAAAGCCCAGTCCAGGCCCACATCCTGCCCTGGGATCCTTACAGGGACATCAGAATCCCAGAAGGGTTTGGGTGGGCAGGGACCTCAAACCCCCCCAGTGCCACCCCTGCCATGGCAGGGACACTCCCACTGTCCCAGGGTGTCCCAACCCATCCAGCCTGGCCTTGGGCACTGCCAGGGATCCAGGGGCAGCCACAGCTGCTCTGGCAATTCCAGCCCAGCCAGGAATCCCCAATTCCCAATCTCCCATCCATGCCTGCCCTCCCTCAGCCAAAAGCCATCCCTTTCAATATTCCAGAATTCCATATTTCAGTCACTTTTGCAGCATTTCAAGCATAAAACCCTTTTAAAATCATTCATCTCTTTAGGAAGATCCCTAATGAAGTTCATTTTAATCTCATGTTCATAAAACAAACCCAGAACATAAAAACACTGATTGAAGTCTGAGTGGAAGAAACTGAAAGCAATTGTAAATGCAGTAAAAATATAATTCCCGAAGACAGCAGAGAGTCAGGAAATGCTGGCCTGGCTCCTGCAGTTGCACTGGGACTGGAGCCTTCAGCAGTGTTCAAACAAGCTTTGGTGGGGTTGGCATTCCCAAATCCAGAGCCTGGCAAGCCCTGGGGGGAAGAGAGGGATGTGCTGAGGCCAGCAGTGACTCAGGAGTGAATCAGTCCTGCAGGGCCTGGGATCAGCCTGACAGGCCCTGGCACAGCCCAGCTGGGAGCCAGGAAGGATCCTGCAACCAGGAGTGATTCCTGCAGGGATTCCTGCAACCATGGATGATCCTGTAACCAGGAGTGATTCCTGTGCAGCCAGGAGTGATTCCTGCAACCAGGAGTGATTCCTGTGCAACCAGGAGTGATTCCTGCAGGGATCCCTGCAGCCAGGGATGATCCCTGTAGGGATTCCTGCAACCAGGAGTGATCCCTGTAGGGATTCCTGCAGCCAGGAGTGATCCCAGTGCAACCAGGAGTGATTCCTGCAGGGATTCCTGCAGCCAGGAATGATTCCTGCAGCCAGAAATGATCCCTGTGACCAGGAATGATCCCTGTAGGGATTCCTGCAGCCAGGAATGATCCCTGTGCAACCAGGAGTGATTCCTGTAGGGATCCCTGCAACCAGAAATTATTCCTGCAGCCAGAAATGATTCCTGCAGGGATTCCTGCAGCCAGGAATGATCCCTGTGCAGCCAGGAATGATTCCTGCAGGGATCCCTGCAGCCAGGAGTGATCCCTGTGCAACCAGGAATGATTCCTGCAGGGATCCCTGCAGCCAGGGATGATCCCTGTAGGGATTCCTGCAGCCAGGAATGATCCCTGTGCAGCCAGAAATGATCCCTGCAGCCAGGAGTGATTCCTGCAGGGATTCCTGCAGCCAGGAGTGATCCCTGTGCAACCAGGAGTGATTCCTGCAACCAGGAGTGATTCCTGTAGGGATTCCTGCAGCCAGGAATGATCCTGCAACCAGGAGTGATTCCTGCAGAGATCCCTGCAGCCAGGGATGATCCCTGTAGGGATTCCTGCAGCCAGAAGTGATTCCTGTGCAACCAGGAGTGATTCCTGTAGGGATTCCTGCAGCCAGGGATGATCCCTGTGCAGCCAGAAATGATCCCTGCAACCAGGAGTGATTCCTGCAGCCAGGAATGATCCTGCAACCAGGAATGATCTCTGTGCAGCCAGGAGTGATTCCTGTAGGGATTCCTGCAGCCAGGAGTGATCCCTGCAACCAGCAATTATTCCTGTGCAACCAGGAGTGATTCCTGTTCAGGCAGAACTGATTCCTGCAGGGATCCCTACCACCAGAAATTATTCTTGTGTAGGCAGAAATGATCCCTGTGCAACCAGGAATGATTCCTGCAGCCAGAAATTATTCCTGCAGGGATTCCTGCAGCCAGGAATGATCCCTGTGCAACCAAGAGTGATCCCTGTAGGGATTCCTGCAGCCAGGAATGATTCCTGCAGCCAGAAATGATCCCTGCGACCAGGAATGATCCCTGCAAACAGAAGTTATTCCATTCCTGTAGGGATTCCTACAACCAGAAATGATTCCTGTTCAGGCAGAACTGATTCCTGCAGGGATCCCTGCCACCAGAAATTATTCTTGTGTAGGCAGAAATGATTCCTGTGCAGCCAGAAATTATTCCTGCAGCCAGAAATTATTCCTGCAGGAATTCCTCCAACCAGAAATGGCTCCTGCAACCAGAATTGATTCCTGCAGGGATTCCTACAACCAGAAATGATTCCTGAAACCAGAAATTATTCCTGTACAGCCAGAAATGATTCCTGTGGGATCCCTGTGCAGCCAGAAGTGATTCCTGTGGGATTTCTGCAATCAGAAATTATTCCTGCAGGGATTTCTGTACAGGCAGAAATTATTCCTGTGGGATCCCTATACAGGCAGAAATTATCCCTACAACCAGAAATTATTCCTGTACAACCAGGAATGATTCCTGTGGGATTCCTGCAATCAGAAATTATTCCTGTGGGATCCCTGTACAGCCAGGAATGATCCCTGCAATCAGAAATGATCCCTGCAACCAGAAATTATTCCTGTAGGATTCCTACAACCAGAAATTATTCCTGTAGGATTCCTACAACCAGAAATTATTCCTGTAGGATTCCTACAACCAGAAATTATTCCTACCATCAGAAATTATCCCTGTGCCTCCAGGTTTCCCTCCCATCCTGCTGTAGCTGATCCTGTGCAGTCACAGCTCCATACCCCAAACAAAACCAGAATTTTTGCTTCCAAACTCTTGATGGCACTTGAGGATTTTCACTGGAATATGTGATATTTTCACTGGAAAAGTGTCCCAAGTTTGTACATTGTCCATCATTATGGACAGAGGGGAGGTAAAATTGCCATTCCATGTGAAATGGGGAGAAAAGCAAAAACTTCTCTTGGTCCCCACTGCTTCAGTACAACAAACTTTGTGTTGGCCATAAAGATGGGGAGGTTGAGCAATTCCAAGAAAATTTTGGGCATTTAAAAGCTGGAAGTGAAATAAGATTGTGGTTTATTCAGTATTTATTTTGCAAAATCAATATTTTCTTGAAAAGTTCCATCAGCTTATTCAAGGAAATTGTTGTAGCAGCTGGGACAGAAATAGTTTGGGTCCTTCATTCCTGTTTATAATTCTGTTTTTATTTAGGAGCAAGCCTTTGATCCATATGAAACCTTGTCCCAGGATATTCTCTCTCCACAATTTCATGAGCATTTTAACAACTTAATGGCCAAACCTGCTGTGGCTCTGCACTTCCAGGTGAGTGCAAATGAGAAATCCTGAATGGTTTAATTCTCATATTTCAAAGGTTGGAATTCTGTCAGTGATTCTTTGCTTCAACCAAAGGAGAAATCCTCAAGGTCCTTCCCCTCCTTCAGTGTGGGATATTTTGATTTTGCCTTTTGTACAAACAGGGCACAGCTCTGACCCATCCAGGGGTGGTTTGCAGATTTTTTCTCCTCACACCCTGTATGGGAACAGAGGGTGAATTCTCCCACTGCCACTTTGATTTTACCTTTTAGAGGCACACAAACACCATATTTTCATTTTCTCCTGTGCATATCCAAGGCCTCCTTCAGCCCTGAGGTTCTTTTTCTGAAATAATTCCTCAGTAATTCCTTTGTCACTGCTGGCCAGCAGGATAATCTGTGATTCTTTTATTGGTTTATTGCTTCTTTCTGCCTGTGCGGCAGATTTACTAATTAAAAATAATTCATAAATTAGGGAATTAAATAATAATATAAATATAGAAACAATTAATAAATTAGGGAATTATTTTAATTAAAAATAATTAAAAATTACCAGCTGCTCAGGCTGGCTTGGTGTTCAGAAATGCCCTTAGAGGGGCATTGGTGAGGGGCACTGGTGCTCCCAGTTAAACCCAGTTAAACCCAGTTAAACCCAGTTAAACCCAGTTTAGGGGTACTGGGACATCTCTGCAGGATGAGATCCCTCTGAGCTTTTCCTTCAGGGGCTGTTTCCTCTTCAGTATTCCTCAATATTAAATTCAGTATTTCATCAATATTAAGGAAATTCTTATTCAATATTCCTTCAGCATTACAGAAGGCTCTTTGCCTCCTGCCCCCCTAAAAATTTAAAGCTCAAAGCTGGAATTTGATTCTTTTATTCCAGATTAAATTGGTATTTTAGTCAGATGGTGAATCTGGCCTCCTTCCTGTCCCTGAGGTAATTCAGTCTCTGCTCAGATGGAAGGTGCAGGAATTTCACCACTGGCTGGAAAAATCTCTCCTCATCTCACAGCCTGAATTACTGCCTCAGTAACTCCTGGGAATGGAAAATGTTTCTCATTTTTTAGGTGATAAACCTTAAAAAGTGATTCTCAGTTTCTGAGGGTGATACTGATTTCTGCAGTACCCAGTGAGGCCTCCATATTTCTGTGGGGTATCGGACATAATGGGAGCCCAGTGAATATTCTGAATATTTCAATGTAAATAAATAATCCTGGTTTTTCTCCTTTCCAGTCCACAGCTGAAGGATTTAAGGAGGCTGTCCAGTATGTCCTGCCTCGCCTCATGCTGATCCCAGTCTATCACTGCTTGCACTACTTTGAGTTGCTGCAGGTAAATGGAGCCACACTCTCATTTCTGGCTGAAAATAATTATTCATGTAGAAAATCTGAGCTTTTAAATAGCTGGTTATATGTTTACTTACTCCTTCAGAAAATTAAAATTATTTGACACTGTTACTTGGTTTCTGAAAATAAAAAACTTATTAAAAAAATCTTCAAAAGCACCTGTTGCTCCCATATGAACATTTAAACTACATTTTATTAAACAAATCTTTATTGAACTTGAGTTCTAATATGGTTGAAAAAATTTAAAGTTTAATTAAATTTAAATTTAAAGAATTTTAAAAATCTGAAAATTGAATACACAAATCCAGTTTCTTCCTTCTATGAGTTCTGAATTTTTTGTCCATTCAGAAGCTAAGCAGGATTCATTCAGAATTCTCAGTCTCAGGTCACACTCCAGTGCAGCTCTGTTTATTTTTATTATTTCAGAATAATCCATTCTTAATATTCAACCTCTATTTCTACTTCACTCTTGTTTTCCTCATGTCTGCTGTGATTTTTTGCATATCCTGATTTAAATAAATAAAAAAACAAAGGATGATTTATTTTGACCTATCCCAAATGAATGGACTGCCAATATTTTGCAGAAAAGTTGAAATCCCAGAATGGTTTGGGTTGGAAGGGACCTTAAAAATCATCTGGTTCCAACCCCTGCCATGGGCAGGGACAGCTTCCAATACACCTAAATTTGTGTGATTTCAGTACATTTTAAACTATTAAGCATTTCTAGTGATAGTCAGTTTAGAAAACAGTTTAAAAAAACTTTTAAAAAACCCAAACAATCTTAATTTTCTACACCTTCCTGATAGGAGAGTGGGGGACAGGAGAGTCAAGCTCTGCCAAGGGAGGTTTAAATTGAATATCAGGGAAAATTTCTTCATCAGAAGAATCTCTTTCAAAATAATGAACTTCCCTTTCCATGATCATCACCTGTGTGGGACATTTCTGTGGGAATTGTGAAAATCCTGCAGGTTGAAAAGCCAGAATTGGGGCAGGGACCTGCCTGGTGCTGAGCTCAGGCTGATCAATGCCCCATTGTGTCCCAGAGCTGGGAAAATGCATCAGGAGGAAATTTAAGGATGGAATTTAAGGATGAAATCACCTGCTGCCACAGCTCTGGGGGATTCTGAACCTGGAGCTGCTTTTAGAAATGAAAAATATATTGTGGTTTTTCCTTTTATAAGAAACATTGCCACAGGTGCCCTTTAGAGCAGAGTTTTTTTTTGCTATTTTTGATAAATGAAGCCTGGCAAAATAATTTTGTTGTGTTTTTATTTATTTTAAAGGATCATACACCATGAAAAATGATCATTTAGCAGTGAAAACATTTAAATTTGACATTTTTCCACAGAGTGTGAGATTTCTGAGTAGATTCTGACACTTAGCTGTCTCACAACCTTGTGAGCACAGAACAGAAATCTGAAATATCACCCTGGAGAAATGGTCAATCCAGAGTATTTTGTTGTGCTCCCATTAGTTACAGGTTTCAAATCTGCATTTTATGTGGTAGTTCGAAAAAATCCTGAATTTACAGCAGGGATTTTTAGAAATCAGAGTGGTTTGGGGGATGAAAAAAGTATTTATTCAACAATTCTAATATATTATTGTAATAATTAAAAATATTATTATTATAAATATTGTAATAAATATTATTACAATAATATAATATAATATAATATAATATAATATAATATAATATAATATAATATAATATAATATAATATAATATAATATAATATAATATAATATAATANATAATATAATATAATATAATATAATATAATATAATATAATATAATATAATATAATATAATATAATATAATATAATATAATATAATATATATTATAATCTGTTATATTAATTATATTCTATATTAAATACAATATATAACATTAAAAACTGGTGGTATTGCTTCTCTGTTGCCATTGCATTTGCCTCTAGGAATTATGGCTGAAAACCAAAATGAAAGCAAAAAAGCAACAAAACATTCATATTTTCACAGTTTCCGTAGGGAAAGAAGTTCACATTGAGACTTTTACTCCTTGAGAAAGTTACCAAAAACCCCCTCTGGATTGGCAGGTGAATAAAATAATGATTTACACAAACACAGGCCTCAATATTTGCTTTTTTTTGCAAAACAACTAAACTGAAATTAATAAAATTAATCTGAAATTATCTGAAATTATCCCTCAATTGCTTCTCCCGCCCTCAGGATTCTGCATTTCACACCTTTTCCATGATCTTTGCATTTCCATGGCCGGCAGCAAGGAAAAAATAGAATTTCCAGAGGTAGACATCTGATTTTTCCCTTCCCTGTGCTGTTCCTCAGCTTCCCAGAAATTTTGAGCCACAAAATTCTTCCTTTCTTGAATATGGAGGTTGTTTGGGCATGGAAAACTAAAAATTTGGTAATTTAAAACAACATGGGAGTGGTCAAATCCTGTTCTCTCAGTTAGTTTTAGAATCAACTGAGGGATCCCAGCTGAGGGAATGTAGTGGGGAAAGGAAAAGAAGGATTCTGCCATGCCAGTGAGTGTGAGGAAGATTTCTGGAGGTAAAACAGAGTTTATCCCAAACTGCATGGCAAGCTGCCATAATTTTGCCCACCAATTTATTAGCTTGAATTTACCTTTTAAAAATTCACAGAATCCCAAACTGGTTTGGAAGGGACCTCAAAATTCATCTCATTCCAGCCCTTGCCATGGGCAGTTCAGATGATCTTGGATGTGAAAAGGGTTAAAAAGAAAAATTTTTTTCTTTTTTTTTTTGAATTTTCAAGTTTTTTAGGTACCACCTTAAAGAACCAAAGAGGAACTTTCAGGTTTTGCTCAAAGCATGTTGCTACCAGGTGGATGGAGATGATATGAAAATCTGTGGAATTCCCTAATTCAGGAAGTTTCTGTTGAGTGGAGGAGATGGATTTAGCCTTTATACCCAGGCAATACATTTGTTCTCACTGTATTTACATTTTTCTGCAGTAGCAAATCTTGAATTTCAGACTTTATTTTGCTCTGTGCAAAATCCTTGAGTTTGCTGAAGGTGGCAGAATTTGGGATGATAAGAAGCAAAGAGAGTCTTGCTCCTTCTTGTCTTAAATTTGGATTGTTGAGATGAACTCATGGAAGGAAGACAGACAGAGTTCCATAAACCAGCTCTGAACCTTTGGCTATTTCAAACCTTCAAATTCTTGAATTTAACCAGTTTTGAACAGGATGTTGTTGGTGATGTAACAGGCAAAATAACACCTGACAATTAGCATTAACGGGTAAAGGGTGGGTAAATTAAAGGGTAAAGGTTTCTAAACTTGATGAATATCTACTGATTCTTCCTGAAGCTCTGACAAATATATTTAATTTCACGCACATCAACTTTTGGTTGGGGCTCTGTAAAAAGTCACTGACTTGAAATCACCAAAATTCCACCGAGTGCTTCTTTCAGTGTTGTTGCCCTGCTGGAATTGAGGCAGAATGTGAAAGCAAAGCAATGTTTGTTGTGTGGCAGCAATTGCAGGAGTGCAGCGAGGATGAGGAGGACAGGGAGTGCCTGAAGCAGGCCATCACAGCCCTGCTGAACCTGCAGTGCAGCATGGAGCGCATCTACAGCAAGCACTCGCCGCGCCGCCGGCCCGGGTAAGCACCCCTGCCTGCCCACGTGCGTGAGGGCGCCCATGGCCCTG